ACTTATGTCTCAAAAATACAAGAGCTAGAGGGAGAAGTGCTGCGTTTGCAAAATTTGAACAGGTCAAGATATAAAGATTATGCTTCTGATTATCTTGGCTTGGAAGATGGTGGACTTCACTCGGGAAATTCCTATATCATGGATTCTGATATAAAAAATGTTGAAACAAATGGTAGGCTACTACCAGCAATTGTAGATTTAAGATTTTATGCCTGGTTGCTCTGGCTTTAACTCTTCAGATTAAATACTGGTTATGTGTTTCCTTTATAAAAAAATTATATAATTTGAAGCTTTTCTCCTGTAATTACTTTTGTTCTGTACGCTATAAAGTCCATTGTGAGTGATATTCACCAGCATGACTCTTGACCTTGTTAGGGGAGGCTGAAGATGTGGAGAAAGAGCTAGAGCATTCTTCCCTTCAAGAACAATTGGATAAAGAACTACAAGAATTGGACAAAAGACTTGAACAGAAGGAGGTAAACTTACATATATTCAGACAGATTTTATTGGGATCTAGATCTAGTTATAAAAAAAGAGGTTAAACAAGTGTGTTTTGGGTTCTCATGCAACTTATGTTTGGAAAAGAAGTTAAAAGAGAAATGATCAGGCTCATGGAACTTATACTCCAAAATTATGTCAATGCTTTTTCTTAGCATCTTTGCTTCTCCATTTTTATAACTTGATATTTTTTGACCTTAAATATATGGATTTGATTTTCCTTAACCCATTGTGATACATGAAAATTGAAGACATGGAAAAAATCTTATGCCAAAAATATATAGTTTTGATTGGTCATAATTTGTTCTAATCTTACGCCAAAAATATATAGTTTTGATTGGTCATAATTTGTTCTCACATGGATATATTAACATATGAATAAAAGTTGGTAATAGAATTTGGAATTTGTGAACTCCTATAATTTAATTAATGAAAGTATTCTTAAATTGACTAAATCTTATCATTCTCTCATTCTATCTTTCATCTTCTCACATGAAAGGTTGAAATGAAGCAGTTTACAAGTGTCGACACTTCTGTCCTTAAGCAGCACTATGAGAAGAAAGTTCAAGATTTGGAACTAGAAAAGAAGGGCTTGCAGGTAAATTCTAAATTATGATACTTTGATCAAAGGCTTCGTTTGATTGTAAAGGTGGAAAAGGCAAACCAATTCCATATAAGTTGGAAAAAAAAAATCCATCAAAATCGTAGGAATGCATTTTCCATGGAATTGACCAAAATTATGTTTTAAATGCAAGTACTTTGGAATTCGAACTCCATTTTTACTTTCATGTCAAATAGTTAAAGTAGGAAACGTATTCTTCGGATGTGACATTTTCCATGGAATTCACTTCAATCAAGCGAGCCATAAATTATTTCAATTCAAGCATTTTTCTCTGAATATCATTGTTTATTGTAGAAAGAGATTGAGGAACTTAGGTACAATCTTGCAAATATATCATCCAACTCTGACGATGGTGCACAAAAGTTGAAGGAAGAGTATCTTCAAAAGCTTGATGTCCTTGAAACCCAGGTAAATCTTCACGCAAATTCCATTCTGATTAAGAATTTTGTGGTTTATAACAAGATACTCAATCTCTTCCTTCAAATTCCATTTCTGTGTAGGTAGCTGTGCTGAAGAAGAAACAAGATACTCAATCTCAACTGTTGAGACAGAAACAAAAAAGTGACGAGGCTGCCAAAAGACTACAAGAGGAGATTCATAGAATAAAGACACAAAAGGTTATACTCTGGTGTATTTCAAACTTGTTCACTAAAGAAATAATCTCTTTTCTTCTGACTTTCTCTTCTGTGTCAAGGTACAATTACACCAAAATATAAAGCAAGAATCTGAACAATTCAGGTTATGGAAAGCATCTCGAGAAAAGGAAGTTCTTCAGGTATTGCATATTTCTATGGTGCCTTTTCCTTGGTCTTTCTCTTCCAAGTAAAGGCAGAAAATTAATACCACAAAACTAGCAAAACATTATTTGCTATAAAATTTAGTCTAATGAATTGTCCTCGAGGCATAAGCCTCAATAAATGTTACTAAAGTTGTAAGATTTAAGGTGTTTAGTGAATCCTCATGTGAGGTGTGTCTCAAGGTGTAAACCTCATATAATGCTCTCTAAAACAATATTATAAATCAATTCACTCTCAAATGCCGAAGTGCTTTTCATAATCAACTTTTGCTCTTTAGTGTGTTAAGTCTTTAATAACTAGATTCAATATTTAAAAATGCTTAATTGAATACCCAGG